CAAATCTAGTAAAAAAAAATCTAACAATGCTGCAATACAGTGAGTAACTGTCAAAGCTAGTTAATACAGAGCAGAGCATGTGTACAGCACTCCTGTAAGCAGCATTTGATATGCAGTCACTGGGCTACCAGTCGCTTACTACAACACGGTATCGATAAGGAGGAGAGAATAAAATCTCCGATTCACCTTACATGCAAGCGATTTGATATCATTAAAGCAGATACGATACAGCAAGTCTGTACCTAAAAGACAGTGGAGAAGATGCTCCAGTTTCAAAATATTATGACATTACTGGGAAGCTTAGGACACATCTTGGGACCATCACAAATTCTCAAAGGAGATTTTCTGCTGCTTTATAGTATGACCTACTGGAACATAAGACTCACCTACAGGGGATATGTTAAGAGAACGAGGTTAGATAACATTATATAACAACAGGGCACATGGATCAATAAATGGACAGAAGCCTGCATAACTCTCTGCAACCCCTGGCCCACAGATTCCTAAGCACAAGCCTTCTGAGAGGTGAGGTGCTGCAGACCTACCCGGCATGGCGTGGACCAGGTCCCCACAAAGCACCATGAAGCGCGGCCGGGGCTGCAGTCTGTTGACGGCCTGCACCAGTTGCCTTGTGAGGCGCACCTCGTCGTCCCACTCATCCCCCCCACCGTCGCAGTCTCCCATCTTCCAGGCTTTCATCAAGCCCAGCTGAGGGTCGGCAGCCTGGATGAAGTAGAAAGGGCCGCTCCACTTTTTGTCTTCGTCTGGGGGGGGAGAAGATCAGCCTCAGTGATGAAAACTTATTAAAAAGCACAAGGCAAACTACACTTCAGATGGTGGCTCTCTGAGTTAGGGTGAAGAAGGTTGCAGGTTCAAATCCCATTACCAGCAAAATAACCATGCCATCGTTAGGCCCTTAACTCCAATTGCTCCAAGTACTGGATGACTCTGCTCTCTCAGTTGTATGTTGTTTTTTTGAAAAGCACCAGCTAAGTAAAATTAAGTAAGATGATACCTGTCTGTAGATTTCAGGAATAAACAGCCATTTATCTTAATAAACTAGCTTATTGTTACAGCAGTTACAGTGAAAAGCATTAAAGGAACCAAACGTCCCCTGGTCATTTCCGCCTTAATTTTTTCATTATGCGAGACGGGAAATGGAATGAGGGTTCCAGTTCTTCCCTGAACGAATCTGAATGTAGTCAGCATTTTAAAATCTTAAAGCTCTCATCAAAAACATGCCCCAACTCACAAGACATCAAGGTACTTAATCTTTTCACAGGTTTTTAATTGTGTTTTGACTTACTCAAGATGCACTCGAGAATTTCAGAACATTGCTCTGCGGCTGAAAGGAGATTAAAGCTTCTTACAGCAGAAACGCCTCACAACAGTCAATGGACTTTGATAACTGGCAATACTGTGATTAGTGCTAGACTGGTGCACTAATTGTGATCGAAATTTATAAATTACATATTACTGTTATTTGTAGCAATTATATGCATTTTATTTGGCAATCACGTGAAAAAATGAAAGAATAAATACAATCCATGAATCTCCTGTAATCACTTTTCTCAAACAGCATCTTGATAGAAATAAATATACTGTAAAAAAAAATCTAATCCAATTTCTAAATTCTAACAATAAGCTAAATAAGAACAACTGGCAAGGTTAAAAACTACCAGTATTTCTAGCTGCGACTCAGTTCAGTGACTGGAATGGAGAGAGTTTAAGTGTTTTGTTTGGACAGCAGCATTCTGTCAATATTGCATGATTAACATCCTCAACAGGGCTTTGTTAAAACAGGAGCAGTCAGAATGTCAAGCAGAGGCACCAGGCCTTGGCTCATTCCGTAGGGGCTTCTCCTTTAAACTGAAGCAAGGCTGTGCGGGCCTCCCACCTCCCTTCACACTGTGGAGAGAGCTGGACTATTGATCCCATGTGCCGGGTGCTATTTTTCAACCTAAAAGGCATCAGATTCCGGTTTCTGCATGAGGTGGCTTCGCAAATACTGCAGGCCTTTTTTAGTCAGTGAGAAAACAAGGTACAAAGAGCTCTGCCTTCCCACCCTACAAAGGTGTATCAGCAGCAGCTGAGTGTCTCCCTACCAGCTACTCGGCAAGCTACTGCTGCTTAACTTCAGGGTAACTGAAGCACATGGTTCCAGTGTCCTACTTTCTGCAGACAAAAAGGTTTGTATTCCTGTCCATCCATCCTTCCATCCATCCTTCCATCCATCCTTCCATCCAATGGGGGAGGAGGGGGGGGGTGGACTTGAGTCTTTTATAGGCAGTGTAGGAACAAGGCAGGGGGACATCCTGGACAGACTGCCAGTTTGTTTGTTTATTTATTTCAACCATATAGTATTAAATGACAAACCACACTAACTATTAAACTAAATGACATTATTTTGAATAATATGCAAGTTATGATAGTTTAAGAACTGCTTAAATTAGTCACAAGGAGGGAGCTTTTGTGGTTTACCAGTGAAGCCTGACAACGATGTCATTGTGTTTTCAGATCAAAGATACAAATGTGTAAGCAGCACTCTGACATACAGCTACTCAATATGTGTAATATAGACAAGATTGTCATTTTTAACAAACTGCCCTTGTTTCTAGAGTTTGGGTCCTTCCTTACTCTTGAAATGTTGGATATTGGTAAAAAGTAAAATCCCTGGAGGAGCGTGTGAACTACTTTCAGAAAACATTAGAAACATCAACAGAGAAAAATGGCCAGAGTACCCCAGGCAGTCGACTGTAAATATAGGAACTAAATGTATGGCTGCACTGAAGTAACTTCAGAAAAAAAAACGATTTCTCAGGTGGCAGATGGTGGTTTCAGACAATACAAACAATAATTCAAGATGAAAGCATTTCCCGAAAAGCAAAAAAAAAACTAATTCATGTTTGAAAAGATATCCCACACCTCAAATTAATTTCTCGGTAATAAGAGACTAAACAGAAAACTAAAACTAATTAACTGCTGAAGAAGCACATATATTAATTGAAGGCTGGAAAGAAGTTTCAATGCACCACAGCAACTTGTCTGCTCATTGTTTTTCAGAAAACTTTGTCTTACCATTTCACATTTCACTGGTCAAGATATTCAGATCCCATGACTGCCAGGGAATATGTTCCTTTGCTTTAAGACAAGATAACCAGGCCTGCTTCGGGGGTCCTAAGTCTTGGGGTCATTAGGGTTTTGTAACCTTAACCATTCTGGAACAATCTGCTGTATTGATTATGACTTTCGGGTCATTTTCTATCCCCCGTAGATCGAGCCCGATCTCTGGTGCCAAGCCGAGTGTGAATCGTGGCTGGATGGAAAGCTAAAACGTGCAAACGTGCGGAGCGAAGCAAGTGTGTGTATGTATTATATAAACACACACAGAGAGAGAGAGAGAGACACACATAGTGGGGAAATGTTCAGATCATTAATGAAACACCCTAAGGTGGATAGCCTACAGTTCAGTGAGTGTCATTATTATCTATACGTTTTGGGATTGGATTATTATTTATTATGTTAAATTTATATTCTGATAGGAGTAATTATCAGTAAAACTCCCGTGCACTCGGCCGGCTTTACGTGCCCTTCACTTTGACGCCGTAAACACACACAAACCTGCGAAACGAGCGATGATAAACTGATGATAAACGGGTACCTTCAGTCAGCCCGCGGTAGCTCCGATCTTTGGCTCTAAGGAACATATCCTCCTCCGTTGCCATAGTTTCGGCCTGTAATTTAAGCCCTGTTTTCTTGCTGTCTGTGTGTGTCCTGGTATATTATGGTCAATCTTTCGCGGAACAGCCGCTTTTCTAAGCGTAACGTCGCAGCCTGATGCACTTTGACTTCCTCGTGAATCGATCGATTATATCGATCATGTATTGTTTCTGCCTGTATTCTCTTAAAGCGGACGTCTTTTTTTTTTTACTTCTGCTTTAAACTATTTACTGAATATGAATGAAAACAATACCCCAAGCCAACTTCACAACTTTTCCCAGCGCATATTTCAACAAAATCCCTGCTCTTTATTCTTCATACCGAAAGGCCACCGTGATCCGTAAAGTATGGTTTGAAACACGTGAATCAGCAGACAGCACTTCATTTATATTCTGATTTGATAAATTGCGTATATTGCATATTTTAATGTGAGTTAAAGCATGAGTATCCATGAAAGAAGTATTTGATTTATGAACGAAATACACGGTGGGGGGGCGGTTTACGAGTGGGCGCTGGCGGTCAAGGTTGCCTAGGGCGCCACGTGGCTTCCGCCGATACTCGGTGGAAGGAGCAATCAAATACAAATAACTTTGTAAAGGACATAGAGACTATATAGATAACGGTAGTAGTAGTCCATTCCATTCATCTTCCAATTGTTTGTCCAATACAGGATCATGGGGGAACTTAGAGCAGAATAGGGCACAATGGAAAAAAAAACAGTCAATAGGCAGGAAGCCAGTCCAATTTGGACACACAGACACACTTTCTGAGAAATTCAGCGACACCAAGTGATCTATGAAAGCCCACACGCACATGAAAATTCCATAAGCACAGAGCCATTGATGAGTTTAGGATGCAGTGCTAAATGCTGAGACACCTTGTCACCTGAGAAAGTTGATGAAACCATCAACTTCCCTCAGAAATATTTTGTTTATCCTCCTATGAAGTTCTTCGTAAAAAGTTTATAAAGTTTAAATCTTTATGTTAAAGCGTCTGACTCAAGGATAGCAATGCTGTACATCATATTTATTATATGTGGCTTATTTTGATGACAATTCCAGCTCACGCCACACCACCTGCTGCATTCCAAGATGACATGCATACTCTGCTTTATGACCTAAGCAAGCGCAGTAATACTTTATTTTATGTGACAATGTTGCCACTAGCTCTATGCACATACTCAGGTTAACCAACGCCTCCAGGGTTCAATAGATCGTACTTTTTTGGTTTATTAATTGTTTGATAGATTTGTATTAATTGTTTAGGAAACGAATTTGGACTTAGTTCAAGGGCGTTTCTCAGTTTGCGCAACAATCTCAATACATGTCCCTACTTACACGCATACCTTTGTGCTTGGTTCTTTGTTTCAATTGCAACAGAACATACAACTACCGAAATGATCCCAAAAAGACACGCCCACGGTTAAAAAACATGCCTACTACTACTACTACTACTACTACTACTACTACTTATAGCAACAACAATAATAAGAACAACAACAATAATACTTTTTGTAAAGATGCGCAAAACGGGAAGAGGGAAAACGGCGTGCGCATATCATAGTACTATATAACTGAGGTAATCTGCAGTGCCAAGGGATCAAAAAACATGTATGCTACAATACAGGTGGGAAAGAATAGGTTCTGTAATATGGATGCGATACTCGGTGACTATTTAGAATACTGAAAAATGTTTCCCATTATTGAATGAGGGATCATCACTAATAAAATTATTGCAACGCAATTAACAGCAACAACAACGAATATTTTTCTCTTTATTTTAAAAGAACGTTTTGCGAAATGACACTGAAATAATACAGAAGTGCATCCCAAGAACACATTAGAATTAGCATGATTTATTTTTCCTCAGTGTTAATTGGTGTGGCATTGATTCATTATATGATTCAAAGTTATCCCTGTACGCGTTTTTTTCCCCGCACCACGGCTTTTGTAGAACTAAAATGTCTCACTACAATAAAATAACAATGCTGAAAAGCCAGGGAAGAGTGGTGGCTGTTTGACCTTCGAGGTCGATTTATGACAAACATAAAAGCATGTGTTACTTATCAATTTAGGCTACCATCTGGGTTTTCGGAACACATCACAGCGTATGACAGAGGCTTTTTCATTGTGTCAATGCCTCCTCCCCCCTCCCTACCTCGCAGGGTTTTCTAACTCCACATCCCTCTCATCGTGTTCCCTCACTCTCCTATCTGTTGTGATGTTTAATCTGTGCAAACGCAGAGAGGAGCTGCGTGTGATCGCACGTTTTTCCAAAGGCTAGCGGAGAAAATGACTGGAAGCGCAGGGAGCAGTAAAGGAGTCAGGCTTGGGTTAATGACGCTTGAGGGACTCCTTTAAACACCTGTGTGTGTCTATGCATGTGTCAGAAACGTGCTGAACTTGCACAAGTGCATCTACCTATACTTCTGTGATCTATCTTAACGGCGTAGTTGTCATTTTGAAGCTTCATTCGTTTCAAGTTTTAAGCAGAAAAAAGAATCTAAAATGCTAAGGGTTGCGCGGTGATGTACCTACTGGGAATATGGTACTTGACTTTTTATGATACCAAACCCTCCTCACCTGTATCATCTACTTTCTTCCTTTCTGTATTCGTTCTAAAGAAAACCGAAAGGGGAAAACTACAGGATGACAAACGGGAGGTTGATGTTTGGTTACTTTTTGGTCAAAGTTCTGGTAGCGGAATGCGACGCCGGAGGCGGACCTGGGCAGCAGAACCTGGATGGATTCGTGACGGTTTCGGGGTCCAACGGATCAGCGGACAATAGCTTTTCACAAAGCCCGCACACAGAAGACCGATGCCGTGGATATTACGATGTGATGGGCCAGTGGGATCCACCGTTCGTTTGCAAGACCGGCAATTATTTGTACTGTTGCGGGACTTGTGGTTTCCGCTTCTGCTGCGCCTTTAGGAGCTCGCGCCTCGATCAAGAGACCTGCAAAAACTACGACACTCCTATATGGATGATGACGGGCCAGACCCCGTTCAAAAAGAACGACCCCAGGCATGATCCCACCAAGGATAAAACTAACTTGATTGTCTACATAATTTGTGGAGTAGTGGCCATCATGGCGCTTGTTGGGATATTCACCAAACTTGGACTGGAAAAGGCTCACCGACCACAGAGAGAGAATATGTCCAGGTAGGCTTTTAATACAATTCTAAGGCTTTCGGTTTCTGGCTTGGTCTTGTGCAAAGCACTAACTTTAAAATGAAAACCTTTGTAAGTTACCGTTTACTCATGCACACATATAACCATTAGACGCTCATGTATCACATCCAGTGGTAGTTAAGCTGTAGTTTGGTCACGCACTTAGCGATCTGCGATCTGCGCTCCACGCTGAGGTTTGATTACATGTTCCTCCAAATAAAATGCCCAAAGTGCTCAGTCTCACCTGCAAGTAGGCGGAATGGGAACTGCGTTTAAGCTACTTTTATATTGTTTTCGCAAGGTCTGAAACATCTTGCATAATAAAGATGATTAAATGCATTTGGTAGTGACAACGTTTAAACGCAATTTATTATTCTTCAGAACTAGAGTAGTACTTATATCATTTTCATTTTAAAAAATTGCTTTCCTCGGAATATATTTATATATATTATAGATTTTGGTAGTCTGATGTCCATGCTTCATCCCCCCCCCTTTTTTTCTTCGCGTTATAAGAATTTATAAGGTTAATTTGCGGTTTTCCAGAGGTTACTCATATCGTTCTACGACTGTTTTATTGACTTAAGTTCTTCTTTAGTAAAAGTTTTCGCTACATTTTAGTAAAAAAAATCTTACATTCACGCTAATGGCCATGACAACTTGTATTCGAAGGTGAACGGACTTTCTGAGCTCCCGGCGAAATGGCTTCTTTGAGCTTATACTCTGAGATCTCAGCTATTGCTTAATGAATTCTACGTCAAACTGTAGCATTAGCATACGCGCATATCTTTTATATTCTCGTGAATGCATGCAGTTTTTTCCCGAACAGTAGCAGCTTGGATCAAACCTGCTATTTAAAAATGAACAGGTGATGGCTAATCCCCCAGGATGAAGACACAAGGCACTAATATGATCACACAATGTCACTTCTAATATTATTTGCGGACAATTCACTAGAAACCCAGTTTGCTGAGATTCTAACGGGATATTCCGCGAGTTCAGACAATGCTCCGACAACCTGCACATAGAAATTTCCTATTCATGCAACATCTGGGACTACTCCACCAACGATACAGTTTAAATTATTTTATGCATAATTGTAGTAAACACACCTAGAATGTGTTTTAGTTTCGCGAGACCATTTTTGCTTAATTTTTTTGTAGCATATTCCCAGTGTTCACGAAATAGATGCGATTAAACTGTGTTTAATATCTTAATGAAAGGACACTGATTTATTTCATATATATTTATATGAAATAAATCTATTACTATTGTTTTTCTACACGCTTAGCTTTGATGAAGGATGTAGAGAAGTGGTAGGTAGTTATCTTAATAAATGTAACTGGATGTGTAGTAGCCTACTGTACTGTACATTCAAGCTATGCAAAACACTTTGCGAACTTTATATAGGACTTGAATAATGAATATATAACTTTATGACTGTTAGTACTAGTAAGTTCACTTTTCTGGCTGACAGTTCATAGCATTGAACTATACAGAAGTTATGAGTGGACTGGTCTGCTGTCTGTGACCAACAGCAGTAGATCACAGAGCAACTGGCCAGGACACATGAACTTGCAGCCCCTGTCATAAAGTGTATGCAGAAGTTTACATCTTTCAGGAGTTTTACGACATTGTCCTACTAAAAATAATCATTTGTAATTTGTAAAATAATTTGTTACTGAACTGGGGATTTAAGGTTTGACAGGTACGTTTCTGGTTCCCAGTGTGTTATGATGCTCTTGTGATGACTGACCAAGGGAGCCTGCTTTGTTCCAGGGCCCTTGCTAATGTGATGAACCAACAAGGTCCCTGCCCTGGAGATCATCCGCGTGAAGACGGCTTGGGGATGCACGTTCCTCACTATGAAAACATTCAGGCTAGAGCAACGGCGAACAGTCTCCGTAAGTCACGCAGCTGCTTTTGAACGTTCCTGTTTTTGAGAGTCTTTGAGAGTCTGCAGCGTTTCTACCACCAGCTTGTACTGCAGAGTCGCTACATTGGTGCCAGAAGCCCAGAAGCAAAGAGCGATATTGATGGGGCGGTATTATGACCCGAGTACCTGCCCACGGGGGGGCGTGACCTCAGGCTTCTGCTGCCTTTGTCTTGGTTGGTGAGGGTTCAGTTATCAGATATCTGCAACAGCACGATATCAAGCTTGCGCATGTGCTCAGGGCCACAGGCTCTATAAGCAGGGCTTTACCTGAGCACCGGTTTGTAAGGTGACTGTGTGCAGGTGACTAACTATCCTTCTCTGAACACATCACTTCAGATTTTACCATTAATTTGCCAACTATTATCTATAGGGCTGGGTGATATCATATCGATATATCGCCCAGGACAAATGATTTTTTTGTTTGTTTATTCTTTCACTTTAAGTTCGTTACATAATAAAAAAAAACAGACAAAAGCATAAAGACTGAAGTTATATCCAGGCAATCATTTACCATTAATTTCACATCATTTTCGGTGAAGTATGAGTTTTGCAGTGCCATTTGTTATACACAGGAAACTGTATACATGGTACAGTTAGAATAAATGACCTCTAAGAATGATATCACAGAGGCTTAGTAAGAATGTGCCAGTACTTGTCATTGGTTTTATCCAATAAATCAGTGTTTCTCAAACCAGTCCTTGGGGACCCTCAGATGGTCCAGGTTTTTGCTTTCTCCCAACTCTCAGGGAATATGGAAGAGAGAGCAAAAGCCTGGACCGTCTAGGGGTCCCCAAGGACTGGTTTGAGAAACACTACAATAGATGGATTGATTTAATGAGAAAATGATTCCTTGACTCTGTATGGATGAAGGCAATGTGAAAAGGGTGACTTGCTGTAGACCTAAAACTGCACCAATACTTAAGCTTTCAAGTTAATAATTTGCTTTAGGTTGTCGTGTTTGTTTTTGATTATCGTGGTGCATGTGCGTGTGTCTTTGGGGGTGATGCCTCAGCTTTGGGTTATACGAACAGACACTGATAGGCCAGGCCCGCTCTGCATTTTGGGGATTTCTGGTTTGTGTTGACCTGGTGGGTCTTGTCTTGGAGATGAGTTATTTACTTTCAAATAAAAAAATAAAACAGTCGTAGAACGATATACACATGTCTCTTTTTTTTTGTTGTTGTACCAGTTGTTATTCCCTGGTTTACTGCTGTTAATGCAACATAAAATGTATTTATACGTCTGGTCAGTTTTTCGCGCTGTGTGTTGACACTCAGGCAGCCATATTGGGTTTCTTTTAAGCACAGCTGTCATGTAAATTAGGACGGCATAGCCCAGGGGTCACCAACCTTTTTTGAAACTGAGAGCTACTTTACGGACACTGAGCCATACGAAGGGCTACCAGTTTGACACACTCTTCTTAAATCATGTTTAATAAACATGTTTTAAATGCTTTTTTTTTTTTTTAGATATTGTCATTTTCAAATCTATGTAAATGCAAATGTGATTAAAGAAGAACAGCAACAGGGTCAAATTAAATTTTCGAAGCTGCTCAATAGTGAGTTGTGCTATTTTTAGAACAGGTCCGCGGGCAACTCGTGTGGTCCTTGGGGGCATCCTGGTGCCTGTGGGCACCATGTTGGTGATTGTATTGTATACAAAAGGTAACAAATTACTGTCCAATTTTGGTTAAGGTTTTATTGACTCGCAGCCTACAGGAACCCAGGAAGCAGAGAATGTGTAAATGTTGAATTTGTCTGCTTTGATGGTTATGTGAACCGAATGGGAAAATAATTATTTTAATGAATAAAAAAAAATCCTGCTTGAAGGCAGTTGGGAGAATCAACTTCATTATTGATTTGCGACTACGGCTTTGTACACCTGTGTTTTCAGTACGTTTGAATCTTCACTGGGCAAATTCTATGTCTGTTGTGAGTATTTTCTGCCTTCAAAATATGAATTCGTTTGTTGAAATAATTGAAGTAAACAGAAATAAATCAGATTTTTTTTTAATTACTACTGTACATTAAGGGTTAATGTAAGGTTTATCAACAGTGACTTTCATCAGGCAAAATATAGGCTTTTGATTTATTACGTGTCTTAATGTCAGATTTATCTGTAGCCACAAGCGTGAACTTTCAAATTATTTCTATGAGAATAAAATAAAATTGCCAAGTCAATATCTAACAGGTGGTTGAGTTCAGTCACATTTCCTCGTTACATTTCCATGCATGAAAAACTGCAAAGCAAATAAGCTTTTGCCCAGATTATTCAATCCATTTTATCCATAAATAACTAATGATGTAATTTCACCTAGTGATATTTCATTTTCCAGCTGAATTTTCTCCTGTCTGAGAATTATATGTGTTAAGGTCCGTATCTTTCTTTGCAGAAATTTTAATTCCAAAATGAAATCTCAGCAGATAATTTACTCTGTTTTAGGGTGCTGAGCTTGAAATGAATCATATCAGCAAAAGCTTAATCAATTAATAAAGGCCATCTTTGTTGGTCATTCCTGTCACGCCTGCTTCATAGTCATGTCATTATTCCAGATTCCCTTTCTTGCAGCTTGAAGATGCATTCTTTATATGGTTTGGGACCTGGGAGTGGTCTTTGGGTACAGGAGTTCAATTCAAGAATATTTTAGTAGCTATTTGCTGTAGATGACTTGGAGCAAATTTTGCTAATCGTGTAATTTGTTTATTAGTTAAAGAAATTATTACAGAAAAGTCCTTTGGCGGATACTGTCATAAATTGTCTGAAAGTAAGACATAATGCAAGCAATTTTACTGCCAGCTAAAATGCCATTAACATTAAGATATATTTCTTTAAACAAATAAGTCAATAAATAACAATGAAAATGTCTAGAGAGTAAACATGCTAAAAATAATGGGGGAACATAAAATGTGAGTGGCGCTAGCCCTGCAGCGAAGAAGGTTCACTTTAATAGATAAATAGGCTGCCATACTGCTATGTTTCTGCAGGGTTTTATGGGGACATTTTTACCGCAACTGATTTTACTTCTCTCCATCCATCTATCCCTCCATCATTCATAACCACTTATCCTGTGCGGGGTCCTGGAAGGCATAGAGCTGGTCCCAGTGCGGGGTCCTGGAAGGCATAGAACTGGTCCCAGGAAGCACAGGGCACCAGACAGGAAAACATCCTGGGAGGGATGTCAGTCTATCTCAGGATACACACACACACACACATATATGAACACACACATGTGAACACACACACACATTTGTATTCACATCTTTGTGGGGACTGTTCATTCATTTCTTTGGGCATAACCCTAATCCCAACTAGGACACCTTTAACCCCTACCCAGCCCTAACGTTAACCATATGAATCCGAACACAATGCAAGACTTTGGCATTGTTAGTTTTTTGATTGCAGTCACAGAGTTGTGGGGACTGAAATATAACAGGTTTTCATCACATTGTGGGCAGATTTTGTTCCGCACAATGTACTTCTACATGACCAACACACACACATTCACACACTATGGGTAAAAGAGGCACCGATTCACCTAATGGTATCAAACGATAGTCATCAAAAATCCAGATATTCATATTGGTCCAATGTGTGAGTCTTGGGCAAAACTGCTGGTCGATATTTAAGCTTTATCAATATTAAAAGTTAGCAGCACCAGAGCTAAAGACATGACTGGTAAAATAATGGAGAAGATCGTATTGGGCGATCAGCCGCTTTCCGTAGTTGTAGGTGAGGGATTTCATCAGCTCATAAATCACTTAGGTGTAGGGTATTCCCTTTCAATATGAAGAAATAAGGGATGCCAACATTTCCATATTGGTGCACCACAACTTGCAGATCTTTGCACTGGAAGAGGAAACCCGTATAGACACAGAGAGGATGAACAAACACAAACTGCACACAGGCAGGACAGGGGGAGGCTGCGAAGCATCTGAACCCAATCTGCCCTATCAAGCCACCATATCCAGCTTTGGATTATCTCAGCTGTTTCGAGAAAGTGATGGTGAGGATGTCCTGTCCGTGGCACGGCAGCACGTGTGTCCGTCAGGCCAGAATTAGGTAATTCGGGCGACAGCCCAGTCGCAGTGTCTGTCTCCATGAATGTCACGCTTTGTGCGGCTGCTTGATCTACAGCTTTCTCTGAAGTGTCTGCACTCTGTACTCCAGCCCCATTGCTGAAATACAAAGGTTTCTCTCGGTTGTAATAAATCTTTGAAAATTTAATTTCTGTAACCGAGTCCAACTGAAATCATCTCTGAGGAGAAAATGGTCTCCACATCACTGTCTTGCCTCATCATATTCAATAATGAATTTTTAGCTCTAGCAGTGGTTATTGTGGAAAACAAGGTGTTTTTTTTATTATAAGAAGAAATTGTACATTTAATAAGTTTTTTTTAAAAATTAGTTTAAATATGCATTGAGACAGTATTATCTGTATTTCTTGCTCTTTTGATGAAAGATGGGCAATTTGAAGGTCTCTGCTTTGTGTGTAAGAATGATCTCTTTCCATTCTCTGATTAACATGCTCTCTCACAATTCTGCTATTTACTAATTGACTGTGCCATTGTTAGTCGAGAAATTGCTATCATGCCTTTCATGCAAGAGACTCCAGGGACGACTGCATGCCGAAAATCACCGCCAGTCACGCTAGATCCCCATAGATCAGCCTCTGTTTCCCTGTCAGCACGCCTGTACTGTAAAATTGGAGTTAAGGCTTAAGGCTTCATGTGCGTGTCGTCCTCGCAGCATTGATTTGCTTATCAGACAGGTACAGCCGTTTGTAATTTGCAACTGGTACCAGAGCGGTTCGGGGCTACATTCGAATGTATTTCCTTCTTGGAAAGGAAATTCAGGCCATGCTTAAGATAAATGGGGCAGACGCTTCTCTCCTCATGCCAGCGGTGCTTCGAGAATGGCTACTAACTGGCTACTACACAGACTTTTGTTTTTCCTAAATATATATATAAA